GAGAATGGTTTAATAAATTATGGACCATCAACACCATGGAACAGCAGGAAGACATCAAAAAGGCTGAACGGGAGATAGCTACAATGTGTTAGTAAGTGAATCAAGGTATAGTCAATATGTGTAATGTGCACTTAATATGTATGTGTATACGCCCCTCTGTAAAATCAGACTGCTGACACTCTCCCATTGCATGTGTGTATGTCCTTCTTTGCATTGTTGTGGAGAAAATGGGGAAAGATACTTACTAGGGAGTCAAAAGTGTTACTTTCAGGGTTTGTGTTTTTTGGATAGAGTGGAGATATTAATACACATTATTCCATATGTGCATGCGTGTGTATATGTGTGTATTTGTTTGCGTGCTTCCCTGATTATAGTGAGCACGTTACTTTCATAATTTAAAACCTATTCATAAAATTGTAAAGAAAACAAAATAAAGCTGATAGCATTTCCTTGCTTCTGGAAACATCTACTTTATATAGAAATAAAGATCAGTGAGAGCTGGCTTTGCTAATCCAAATTAAAGGTGGGCTTTCCCATTCATGAAACCAATCATTTACCTCTTGATATTTCAACTCGTAAAAATGAAGGCAATGTTTTCATTCTGAAGAAAGGTGATAGGTTCTTTACCTTCCTATTTCCGCCTGGTCCTGATTTTGACATCAAGCCTTCACTGCAGACAGCAAACAGTGCTGACAATACAGCTGGTAGCTTTCCCCCAGACAGGACAGGAGGAGCCTCCAGACCACTGGGCCCAGGATTGAGTGGGCACTGAGCAGGCCCATCAGCCCTGCCCCCACTTTCACCAAACCTCTGTGTAAAGGGGTTGTATTGTTGGCTACTCCAAGCAAACACAATGTTAATGAACTAAAATTATTTGAAAATTAGTAAAATTATTTTATTTAATTAGTTTAATTTACTTGATTAAAATTACTATTTTTATAATGAAAATATTAAGATTAAATGTTTTGCATTTGGTACAAGGTGATCTATTCTAATTCTTGGGAGTTTTGCTCTAACTTCATTTAAGTTAACAGAAAGCAGGTCCGTTTGACACTCTGGACGAGAGTGGTTTATTAGGACACGTAAGAGGATGTGTGATGTTCTGTGACACAACTTGAACTAGGGTTTCACAGCAGGATCAAGTTTGGGGGTGAGGAAGAAAGACTGGAGTCATCTGGGGTGACTGGGAGAATTGTGGCATTAGGTTTTATGGACACAGAGCCGTGAGTGAAAATCCTTCTCTTAACGATTTCATATCCTGGGTCATATTATTAGGATGATTCATATAAGAGAGGGGAAAAACCTATTATGCAAAAATGCATCTTAATAAACAGATAACTTCAGTAGGAGTTATTTTCATTACAGACTAATTCCACAGGGTTCCTTTAAAAACCATCTCTCCTACTGCATTTAAGGGTGTTATTTACACATGATTAGCTCTTTGGCTAGGCAGAGGGGCAATTTAAGTGTAAAACATCCAAGGCCAGTTAAAGATCCGTGAAAAAAAAAATACAAACTCAGAAGTAATCACGGAAGTCAGTCGACACACAGGATCTAATTTACAAAAGTGTAATTTATACACACCTTTCTGCAGGAGCACAACTATTAGATAAAAATGAGAAACACATGCATGTTCAAGTCAAAAAACAGGTGTATCCTAAAAGATTGCTGAGAAGAAGGAAGCCTCGGCTTTTGGGAAGAAGGCAGGATTTTTAACGAAAAAGAGACCACACCATTCAGAGCTCAAAGATGAGACCTGTGGCTCTCAGTTATGTGTATGTCAGACCTGGAGTAAGGAAAAGAATCCTAGGTGACGGTGTGGGTATCCTCTGGGTGTGTATGTGTGTCCAAAAATGACCCTTTATGTGCTGGTTGAATTGTTTATTAATAATGGCATGCGACTTTGCACTAAAATATACATCTTCATCTGGAAGAGAAAAACCTAAGTGAATGTTACAAAGAAGCCAGCTCATTGCAAACAGCCTGGCTGAAAAATGTGTTGCTGACTTTGAGAATTAAGGAGAAAGGAAGCCTCAAGCAATGCATCTTAGGGAAGAATGGATGCTCCTTATCCTCAGCACCACTGCACAGCCTCAAGATGGAAATAATCTAAGGTCCCTCTGTCTACCCAAGTGGAGAAGGAGAGGTCTCAGAGTTGGAGGCCCTTATGAAATGCTCATTGAGCTTGTCAGTCTGAATAACATTGTTTAAGGGACCTAGTAAGAAACTAGGGATACCAGTGGGAAACTAGTTTTGGTTTTGTTTTGTTAAGGGGAAGTAGGATTAGCTATTTGTTAATTGTTTTCTTTAAAACTATACAAGGACATTTATTTTCTGTGATATTTCTGAAAAATTGCTATCAACCTAAATACCCAACAATGAGGGGAACAGATTAAAATCTAATATCATTAAACAGTAGAATATTATGAAGCTGTTAACATATTTTCATAAAATGCACGTGACAAAATAAGTGGAAATAGGATGAAAAATGTGTGGGTAATATGACTGATCATGCAATTTAAAAATGAAGGGTGTTGGATACACATTATACAGTTTCTACAATTATTATAAATTTTTACTTTTAAATTCAGAGAAAAAAGTATAATTATAATGAGTAAAGTGATATTCCCTTTTTGTATTTTCCATAATAAAATGGACTCTTTAAATCAGAGATCTGCACACTTTTTTCGTAAGAACCATCAGATCATCATCGACATTTTAGGCTTTGCGAGCCTCCTATGTCTCTGTCACATATTAGTTTTTGTTTTTGTTTTGTTCTTATCATCCCTGGGAAAAGCTGCAACCTGGTCTTAGCTCACGAGCCTTAGGAAAACAGGCTGTGGGCTCGATCTGGCCCTCAGGCTATAGTTTGCCGACTCCTGCTTTAAATTGTTCTGTTTCCTCTGTATGCTTCAGCTGTTTTAACATGGAGTATTTGTGACATATTTCACGTGTGCCATTTATGATACACACTTTCCCCAAGTCACTTTAGAATAGCTGTACAAATTCAAACTAGCCTTTTTCTGGACTTAATTTGTTTTCTTCACTTCTGAAAAGCAAACTGAAACAGAAATACGGCCTACAATTGTAGAGAGCCACACTGTCCAGTATGGTAGCCATGAGCCCCACGTGGCTAATTACAGTTACATTAATCAACATGAAATAACACTAAAAAGTCAATGCCTTGGTTCCAAGATCACATATACCAGACAGGGCAGATATAGAACGTTTCATCCCAGACAGTTCTATAGGACAACAACAGCAGAGAAAAAAACAAAATCATACTCTGGAACTCAACCCTATGGTGAGTTTTGGTAGACGAACTCTCCATCAGAAAATAATATTTATAGAGATGAAGGAGGGACAGGTACAGTGCAATGATGATGAGATTTAGACTCAAATGGAGCCAGAAAAGCAGTCAAAGGTTGAATCATTTCCCCAGGTTCAAAAAACAAATCTACCATACACTTGGCTGTGTGATCCTGGGTGAGGTACTCCGCCTCTCAGCGCCCTCCAATTCCTCAGCTGTAAAGCAAATATTATGATACCTACCTGGTGCAGATTTTGAGAGGTTTAAGCAAGGTTGAATATGTGAAAATGCATAGTAGCATTCTAATTCTAGGAGATATATGTAGATGCATTTACACTGGCCCAAATGGGACAATTTTCATAAATTCAGAAAGAACTTCTTCTGGCCAGTATGGTTAGATTTTGGCTTCTCGGGGCACACGGAAAATACCTTTCATGTCATGAATGTCAAAACTGCTGTTGAAGGTTATACTCTGGTTGGGAGAAACAACTGGTTGGCCCTCCTTGAGGGACCCTCGGGTTTCTCATAATCATTATATTTTGGGGTCCCTGTGACTGCTTCCAACCTTTGATCCCACAGCGAAGAGCCGGGTTTGTCTCAGCCTGTGGGAATCAAGATGCTTGATCTTGGCACACGGTGAGGATTCCCCTGTCTGTCATCCTCTTAATCATCATAAGCCTGTTACCTCCGCTCCCCTCCCACTCCCCTCTCTATCCTGTCTCGGAAGCAGCCCCCCTTTCCTCCTGGCCCCTAGACTCATTTGTGAGCCCGGAGCCCATTGAGGACCTGTTTGGCACTTGTGGGAATTTCACAGGGTGTACACACACTGTATGGAATCGATGATCATGTCTTGGCTGTGGCCGGGGGACTCTGAGGAGCGGCAAACTTGCTGGGGAACCATGGTGGAATCAGTGAGCACTTTAATTCCTCACTGTGCTCTGGGAACTCGGGTGGGAGTGGGGTACTCTCCACCCCAGAGCATCCATCTCAGGCAGAGAATTCCTTGCTCTTCCACCTCAACATTGCGATTTATCTTCCGTATTTATTTCTGGTTTCCTCCCCCTAGCACTTGATGGCTATATTCATATTTAATAAAGTGCCTTCTTGTTGTTATTTCCCCCAGTTAAGCAGGAGGAGAGACACAGTCTTCTCTCTCCTCCTCCTCAGTGGAATCACACAGCAAAGGATAGAACGGCCTTGCAAACAAGTCACTAGCCACTGGCTAGTAATATTTCCCACAATGAGAAAATTGGGCTCAAGAGTACCAATCAAGCACCTTTTGCTAGGCTAGGGTACCATTTGGGCAGCCTGCATGTTTTTTACTTCAATTAGTTTCATATTAATTTGCAGAGCTGTGATAGAAGTCAGGCAATGAGTTATAGCATCCCCCCTCCCATCACCCTCCGCCCATCCCAATGCCCCATGTCCCACCCATTGGACCCAGTCCTGGCAGGTCTAACAAAGAATGGCTGGGACATCTGGGAGGTGGGGATTCAGACGTAATGAGCAGAGGGAGCAGATGCTAAGGCAACAGGGAAAACAGACATGCTTATGAAAATCAACTTCACCTTGTAGAGAGCCACAAGGCAGGGGGGTGCAGAGGGAGGGGGAGAGCACTGACATGGCAGGGAAGGTGATTGGACTCAGATTTATGTCACAAAACAAAAAGAGAGCCACAACGCGGGCTTACTTGCGGAAGTATATACAAGTGAACTGGGGGCAGTGTACATGGAAGATCCCTCCTGGTTCGCCTGGCACAGCAGCACCGTGCCTACGAAAGAGAGAGAGAGATGGTATCTGGTTTGGGAACAGGCACACTGCACCTGAGAGATCACGGCAATGCAAACAAAAAAGGCAGAGAAATGACAACATAGCCACATCCCAGAGCGCATGTTCCCAGGGGACACCCATGGAAGCCCCCTGCCATAGCCAAAGGGAATTGGTGGAAGCCCGCCCCCAGCCCCCCAAGTGCATTTCCTTTTTACATGGGGTTTGAGTAGTGGGGTCTGGATGCCCCAGGACCCAGTTTCAGATCAGTGATGGAGGCAGCACGGCATACTCAAGAGGCAGCTTTAGAAATATCAGAGAGAACTAGACCATAAGCCTGGCTCAGGCACTACCTAGCTGTGTGATCTTGGTAAGTCACTGTACCTCTCTGTGCCTTGGGATTCCCATCTGGAAAATGGGTGAATATACCTACCTCCAGGAAGGGCTGTGAACCATATAACTGGAGCTGTGCCCCATTCAGGGGCTGGCATGTGATCATCACTCAATAAATGGTAAACATATGCACGCATTGCTATGTTTAGAGAAAATTTTTCCTCCCCCCACTTTAGTCTTTCTGAATAGATCTTCAGAGGAAGAACAGAAGTAAGGCAGGGAAGAAATAAATGCAACTTTTGCCATCCCTGTGATCCACCCTGGACCCGCACCAGACTCGGGGTCATCTTTGGCTTCTGCGTTCCATTTCTTCCCTAAAGCTCTGTGCCTTCCAGCGGGAGAGGCTGCTTCACTAAGCCCACAGACGGCGGCTGCACTGCAGCGATGACTTTCCTCTGCCTGATTTAAAGCAAAGGGCACTGGGCTTATCCTTGCAAAGTGGAATTTTACAGCGGGGGAGAACGGTGGAATCCTGAGATAGCTCCTCAATCGATGACATGTTTTGAACAACCACCCACTCCAAGGGAGACTAGGATCAGGAATCTTCAGGGCACCACTTCTGCCCTCCTGCTGCTGCAAAGCGCAAACTCAAAGACGTTGAAAAGAATGAGAGAGACTTTTGAAGAGTTTTAAGCCCCATATTGATGATGGAAATGTGTTCCTGTGGTTTCTGTTCGCTTCCCTGGCTGGGCAAGGTCAGCCTCCTCCATTTGTTTGTGGATTCTCCTGTCATCATCGCAACTAGAAAGGAATTTCCCATGAAAAGAAGCCCACACCCCCGGGGAAGCATGAACTCACCTATGTCCTTGAAGATTTGACCTGGGGGGGTTCTACAGTCCTTTCATATCTTGCCCAAGATCAACAAAAGTGTAGTTCAAACTTCCAGAGTGAGTGGGGTGTGCCAAATAGAGAGGCACTGCCACATGACTCCACTAAGAGATAGGTACCTTTTCTGAAGCACAAAACCAGACCCCGTTCCAAAGGTGGTCTCCCCAACCCCTGCTCCATCATTTCTCAGGTCCTGAGCCAAAATACATGGATCGCTTGAGGAGGACTGAGAAGCATTCCCCAAATTTCACTTCTACTCTCTGTTTCTCTAGATTTTGTACATTATTTCCAGGTAAAACAAAGATTCTATTAAAATTCGTAACTCTTCTCACCCTTCCCCTATCACCAGGTCAGCCAACTCCATCCAATCTTTGACAAAGAGAAGTAGCCCATGGACAGAAGTTCTCTCTGAGGGAATGTCCCCTAGTCTTTCCCACATTTACCCTGGTATCCCCTGCTTATGGCTGTAGAAGACCCCCCTTCCGCTCTTTCCGCAGAAGCCTGGATATTAGAGTGAAATTAACTGACGTTCTCTTGGGAGTAAATATATTAAGAGTCTGGATGTGCCTGAGTCATGATCAGCTTTTGTGAAACTGATAGTTCTTTCTTCTTTCTACTTCATTTAAAAACAGTTTGTCTCAACATCTAAGATGAAACTTCATATGGTCTAATTTCTACTCAGTAGGTATTTCCAGTTCTAGCAGGAAACTGGCATAGTATGGGGGTCAATAGCAAACCAATCAAACCCCAGATCAAGGGGTGTGGGGTCTAAAATCAACCAATAGGAGACAGGACACCCACCAGGAAAGACATGGGTTAGAACTCTGCTTTATCAGTGAAACTCATTCTGACTTTGCAGAGGTCGTCTGCATGCTTTGGCTTATTGCTATGAATCTTTGAGAAAACTAATGTTTCTATAGGATACACAGAGCTACCAAATTAGAATCTTCTAGGCTGCAACCCAAGCAGGTGGATCATGAGAAAGCTGCTCAAAGGGGCTCCTATGTGCACCTCTGGTTAAAAACCATTGAAATGAGATCTGAAGCTTCTTGTGGTGCCTAGGTTTCCAAAGAAAAATAATACAATTCTTGCAAAAATTTATTCAGAAGGAAATTTCAGTATTGTGCAATTAAAACCTTAGGGTCAATTTTCAATGCTCTCAATTCAATCTAGAGAATCCCATTGGGACACAACACAGAGTTCCTCTGGAAAGCTAAATCCTGGAAAGGCATAATGAAGCCTTCCGAATTTTCTTATCCCGTGGATCCTGAGATACTAGACTGAAATAACTTCTTTGAATGTCCTCTTAGTAGCAAAAAAAAAGGAAAAGAAAATCTTCATGCAATGATTTTGACCTTTGTATAACAGAATCTATACTGTCACAGGACTTGGTTTTTATCTTACGTAAAAACATCCTCCAATTTAATTTGCAAAGTACTTATTGTATGTTCTCTTAGTACTTTGTGACCTTTTTCTTAAAAGAAAGCTTTGAATTAAACAAAGACAAAGCAGCAGAGAAGAACGTTATAACCTCCATGCATTTGGGGATGCGGGGAACAAGTAATGTGTGTTTGTTTTAAAAAGTCAGTCAAATAGATAATAGGGTACAAGCAGCAGCATGAGGACTGTTTACAAGGTCATTCAAGGCATTCAAGGCGATACACGCCAACCTAGCTTTCTAATGAGTCTTCCTTCTGTCCCCCGTCACCCCCAGAGACCATCTACCTCCGACCGCCATGAACTGTCTACCATCATGGCAACATCTTGTACTTCTCACACTTCTGTATCTTTGCTTGTAAGTCTCCTTATAATTTAAGGATGGCAACTATGTTCAATTTATACCCATCCCTTAGCCAGGACAGACCATTAATCAATTTCAATATTATCCTTTCCTGTCATCCTGGAATCCTCAGAATCATTCTCAAGACAGTTTCTAGGCAGATACTACCATTTGATCAGAGTTGGTGGACCGTATGGAACCACCATGCTAGTCGTGCCCTTACTGTTAGGTTAAATCAGATGAAATTGCCATTTTTACGTCAAATAGAGTTGAATGTTGGCGATTCCAATCCTATTTGTGGTTTAATTAAAAAAAATGTCTCCCCCACTCCTTTCTGCACCCTTTAAAAGTCACCTCCTCTTTTCCCAGTCCCCAGGAGTTAATTGATTACTCCCTCTTCTATACGCCTATGACATTGAAAAAAAATCTCCCTAGTAGATCCTTTGTCATGCTGTATTACAACTTTTTATTTATATATGGGCCTTCTTTGCTACAGAGAATATCCTCTGGGTCAGAGGCAAATCATACTCATATTTTTATCCCTTGCCCCTAGCAAAATACTTGGCCCTCAGAGGGATTAACGAATATGATTGAATTATTACAGGTTTTTAAAGATCTCTTCATTTCTGATCTTTTTGCTAAACATGGTGCTTTTTCTAGCCAACTTTTTCTGCCCCTTGTTCACGGCTGGGAATTTGCCTGCCTAGAGTTTCCATATAGTCACAAGCTATATCTATGGGATTTATTTCCTCCTCTTTTCTGGTTCTTTTAAGATGGACTCATGCAGTTTCACGTGAAACCTGGGCAGCCTGGTCATCCATTTCCTGGAAGGTTGATGACTGTATCTGCAACGGGCAGGGACGGGGCTCCATGTGACAGACCTCGATCTCGGAATAATCAGAGACTTTTCTAAAACTAGCCACACTCGCTCACTCAGAGCGCCATGATCATCAGCATCCGGAATTCTGGCAAGATGTCCACTGGGCCACTCTCAAGTAGAATTTGGAATCCTCCAGCTAGGAGAGGGTGAGCCAGGGTCAAGGTCTCAGAAGGGGCATCCCAACCCTTCCTGCTCACCTGGAGACACCCTACAGCATAGGGGATCATTCCTGGTGTCTGGAGGGAAAGGGAGAAGCCTGGTGAGGTGTATCCTATCACGGACAGGAAGGAAGAAAGCATCTAAACTTTTGACTCTGCTGCCAACTCTTAGGTGAGGAAATTGGACTCAAACCAACTGGAACAGCAGTGTAGTTTCACACCTCCGTGCCTTTGCACAGGCTGTTTCTTCTCCCAGAAGCCGTTCCCCTCTCCCTAGATAATTCCCTTCCCTTCCCAACCCAACTGTGGCTTCCCCTCCTCCTAGAAACAGAATCTATTTGCCTTCACCTGGCAGGGTTCTACTTCCTTCTTCTACTTTTCTAGATTGTGTTGCAATAATCTATGTAATGAATGTCTTCTCCATGGATGCTACAAACTCCAAGATGGCCGGAATCATGTCTTACTCATCTTCCTATCCCCATGAGTCCAGGGACCTAGGCCAAGAGGCAGGAAGCAACTGAAGAGAGAAACTTAAAGGTTTCTGATAGGCAGCCATGTTACACTCTCAAGATATAAAATTAAAAGGAAGGAGGTGGAGGAAGAAAAGAAAGGCTGTTTTGCAATGTCTGCCCTTCCATTTTAGCATCAAACAGGCAGAGTTCCAAACCAGCCCAGTAGTGAATGACTGGGCCTTTTGTATGATTTCTGGATTTAAAAAAACAGTCAAAGAAGCATTCCAACTCCTTGGCAACTAGGAGTGGCCGATTCACTTTGTTAGGGGCTAGGAAATTTGGAGAAGGATGCTCTGATCTCTATTGAAATGCGAAAAGCAAACAAAGACACAAAGAATAACAACAACAAAACTATAAAACATCTAGGAGCCCAGGGGAATTCGGAGCACCTATTATATGAGGTTCTGCCTGTGTCACGTGCTCTCTATGTCGGCAGACATCTACCATGGGCTA